GTTTGCTTACTTAACAGTCTGAGTTGATTACTGGCTGCAACTGAAAGTTATTTCGATTTTTTGTTTGTTGGCGTAATATTTTGTTTTTGTAGTTGTTGTATTTTTATTTGTGTTTTCTTTATTTTTTAGCGACTTGAGAAAGCATTGATGAGTTATTTGTGTTTACACGTGTAAAGTAGACATGTTGTGTTGACGCACACATACGTACATACTTTCATAGGAATACACCCACAACTAAAACCATATCAATATATGAATATAGACATGTGCTGTGTACATGTCTCCCACTAGAAAGTCATATTTGCGGAAGCTCTTTGCAACTTCATTGACTTGCTGCTTGTGTTTAATCTTTGCTCTCGTTGATCGTACTTCTTCTTACTGTTTTTTCTTGCTCAGTGTGATTTTGAAATTTTTTTAAAGTTGTTTTTGTTAACCTTTTTGAATTTTTTTTTTTACTTTTTTAACACCTAGATCTTTTTTTCATCAATATTATGCTCTATAAAGTGTTGTTTAGCTACATGTTAATGTTGTTGTTGCGTTTTTTTGATATTTTTTTTAGTGTTTTTTTGATGTTGGCATGTTGTGGCATGTTGCAATCAATACTCTTGTCTGTTTGCTTTAATCAATTTAGACGTTTAGGTGTCATTCAATATTATTTTTCCTTTTACTGCCACTAGAGAAATGTTACTCATACGCCTTAGTGACTCTTGCTGTTAGTGTTGACATACTCAATTTTCTGTAATTTTATTTTAGAATTTATATTTTGTGGCACTTTAATACAATTTCTTAATGACTTTATCGAAGCACAAAAACAAAGAAACTGCGACCTTCTTTCCAAGATTTTGCCATTATGGACCTCTGTAGCTCTCTAAAACACTAAATCAGGGACTGAACCCAAATTTATATCTTGTCCAGGACTGTCTAATTTCTAAAACTGTTCGAAAAAATCAATCACGGTGGGGTCTTCTGGGATGACTTTATTAAGCAGACCTTAGATAAAAAGCTGGCAGAAGTAGGGTCTTTAGAAAATAATCCCAATCGAAAGTCCACACCAAGTAGTTGATTTCGATATAGTTCGGATTATCTTAAATTTCGGGTCACGGTTTTTGTAACGACAGGCAAAAAGTTTCAGCAGAAATTGATGTTAAACAGTTGTCCTTTTTCTGTAAAGTGTCAAACTTTCAATACAGACTAACGTTATCAAAAATATTTAGCAGTTAGCCAAGTTGTGAGTTAAAATTGGGACTATATACATAAGCTAATATCCTGAAGGGCCAAGTGTCAGTTTTAATCGAGACCTTTAACACATGGATCTATGCAAAAATCTCAGACAAAAGTCGGAAAACGGTTTCATTGACATCGATAATATCTTTATTTTTCCGTTTCTTTTGAAATTATCTCATTCTATATTTAATGTTTTAATGCCCATAATCTAAACACTTTAATATCATAAATAGGTGTTGCCTACAATTAGGCGCATTGTACATGAATTCCAGCAAAGTCGCACACCAAACAAAAAAGCATTTATTACTCAATTTCAGAAGAAATTTAATTACATAGAAAAAAGAATAATAAAAAAAGTGATAAAAATATATGTTAAAAAGATTAAAATAAGTTGATTGGAACAATTGTTTTAGTTGGATGTTTTTTTTTCTAAGGCATTTCTGAAAAAAGTACATATATAATCGTATTGCTTTTATTATCTTCCTACCTGCCTTCAACTGTGCCTCTATTTTTGAAAAAAAGTTCCAATTCTTAGGCATTGACGTCAAACAAGCGCCACAAACCCACACAACACTTCCATGCCTTCTTATGGCATTTCCATATTTCTTGTGCGCTTTCCGCAAAGCAAACGATGAAGAACGTATTATTCCCAGCGACACAAGCCTGAGAGGCGCTCAGCAAGCGCGTTAAATACTCTAAAACTGTCTAACCGGCTGTCAAAACCCACATGCGGCACCAATGATTTGCATATCATCAGCTGGCATCATTTCAATGGATTTTCAAATTTTTTCTCTGCACTTCTATTTTGCAGAGACTTATGTAAGCATGTGTGCGAGTGTGTGTGTCATACAAAAAATGCCGCTAATGTTGGCACTCAACAATTTATGACAGCGTTTAAAATTCTATTAGTGCTGCTATATACATATGTATATATATGGCTGCGGGCTGCATACATATTTAGCTAGAACAACAACAGCAATATGCAAGTCAATTACCACGCAACAGAATAAGAAGAAGGAAGGCAAACGCGCAGCTAAACGCATAATAATTGATCAATTTACCAGTTTGCAATGTCAACAGTGGCAGCAGCAGTGGCGGCAGCAAGAGAAATATATATGAAAATAAATAATAACAAAAACAAGAAAAATGGTTAACTTCGACTGCACCGACGCTATAATATGCTTCAGAGATCGATATTTTTTAACATTATGATTATAACAAGATCTTTGTTATAAGATTGTATCGCTGTTTTAGATAATAATGCAAGCCAAATTTCGTGAAGATATTTTGTGAAATACAAGAATTTTCCATACAAGGACGTGAGCTTGATCGATCAGTTTGTATAGCAGGTATATCATATAGTAGTCCTATATCGGTGGTTCCAACAAATCAGCACCTTCTTAAGGTCTTCGACATGGACAAAACTTCAGATCGATATCGCAAAAACTGAGAGATAAGTTCGCGTATATGCTGAGGTCTATTCAAAAATTTCTTTTTGGCTGTTCCTAACTTCATGGAGCACTTAATATACCCTGTTCAGGGTATAACAACAAGCACAACCAACGAACAGACAGTGTGAGCTTCTAATAACAACAATAACAATAAATAACTTCATCATTTCGACGCATTGCAGCAGCCTAATGACATTGAGCCACCGCCACTGACGCCACAGCCATAGTGTCAACAACAACAACAACAGCAGTAGTAAACTGTAAAGCATGCGGCAACATTTCGCCGCTTAATTTAATTGGCGGAATTCGCCATTGACAAGCGACGTTCGCATGATTTATGCATTCGTGCACTCGCATTTACGCGCATATAACTGTTGTTGTTGGCATTGTTGCTGTTTCCTTTTGCTGCAGTTATATAGCTAATGTACGCGTCTTGTTGACCTTGTCAACATGTTGCCGCAACATGCGAAATGATTTGCGCTCGACTTGGTGTGCCACACACACGCACACGCGCTGATGACTTACTGTTGCAATTTAATGCCCTTGTTTGCTACTGCGCCCGCCGCTGTTGTTGTTATTATGGTTTTTGTTGTTGTTGGTGCGTACACGTTAAGTTGACAATTGACTGACAAATATGAAAATTACTCCGCTCAAAATAGCTAACTGGGCACTTAGGCGAGTTGACGTGTCAATAAATGCTGCGGTGGGGCGCATTGTGGCATGGCGCTCCTAAACATGGCAAAGCAATGGAAATTATAAAGGGTGAACGCATGCACGATGCGCTTTATTTCCATTTGGTAGATGTGTATGTTTGTGTAGAAATCTATAAAAGTATGCACTTGAAGTGTTTTAAAATTGCCGGTTAATTGAAAAGAATAAATGCTAAGTGATTTTGATATGAAAATGATTGCATAATCGGTGTGATTTTGCAAGTTAAATAGTAATGGCACGAAGTAGTTTAGAATACAGGGAATATGAATAAAGTTAATGAAAGTAGAACTGGAAAAAATCAAAACTCGTAAAAAAATATATCTCATATATGTGCAGAGAGTGCCATCTGAAGTATTCACACAAATATTTCGAAATAGAAACACGAATTTTTTATTACTGTTATATTAGCATTAACGCGTTCATAGATGCTGGCAATAAATTATTTTAAGGTTGAAAAACAGTGTTTTCTACAGAGATTCCATATTGTGCCTTTTGAAGTACTCAAAATAGGTGTAGCCACCATTTTTGCCCAAAAAAATATTATATTTTAATATAAATGTATATATCAAGGTAACGAAATCTGCTTGATATCATAGCCATATTGCATATTTCAAACGAAATTTTTTTGTTCGATGTGGCAACTCTGCACAAAAAGATTTCGAAATCACAAAAAAAAAACTTTATTACCGATATACGCACATTTTTATAACCCAAACTAGCAATCAAACGTTGAAATAGGTGGCAACTCTATTTAAAAAATATGTTTAGGTCAAAAAACGTTACTTTATAACACATAAGTCGACAGATTTCAGAACAACATATATAAAATAAAAATTTTTGCAAACGTTGCAGCCATATCCAGTAGTATTTTTATTTAGAAAGATATTTTTTGACGAAGAGCGAATAGAATTTTGACGCTTAATAAAAATATACGTAGTGGCAACCCTAATCATAATTTTTCCTAATTTAAATAATATATATTTTATACCTGCATATGCCATATACTGTGCACATTTAAATTATTTCTGAAATTTTGTTATGTATAATAATAATATAGGTGGCAACCATATTAATACAACAATACTTCCATAGAACAATTGGATTGGCAACAAAATATTTAAAATTATATGATAGTATACTTATTAAGAAAAAATTATTTGTAATTTTTTTTTGGAGTTAAGCTGGCATCTCTGTGTTAAAATATTACTGTAATTGGGGTTTTTACGCTTTATTCAAAATATTACTAAATTTTGTGTATAGCCTTATATACATACTTTATTAACCTTTTATTTTCTAGATATATGGCAACTCTATTATAATATTGATTCGTTTGAATACTAATAAAATAACTCTCGGCGCTTAAAATTAGCTACGCCTTTCCTAACAATTAATTACTTGCTTTCCATAAAAATTTACGAAAGGTTTTCCAATGAAATCTCATGTATAATGTTTCTAATTTTTTTTACATTTATTTTGGTTTTAGCTAATATTTTATGAAATTTATTTTGCAAAAAATTTAACAGTCATATAGACCACTAATGAAAAATTTTTGTTCCAAGTTATGAAAAATGTTTATATATAATATATGTATTCGTGCTAGTCATTCGTACTCACCTTATGGGCTTTGATGAGGGCGCCCTCTGAACAAGCTAATGTGACGTCCACCAGACTCTCGTCCTGTAGTAATTGACTAAACACCCCTAACAGGTTGGATTGATGATTGTTCCACCTCAAGCAGTAGTGCTCACTGCCCATGTCGGTGACAGCTTACGCTGCTGTAATTACAAAAACACAAACAAACAAATATATTATAAAATATATATGAACAACAATAAGAAAAACATTAAAGTAAAAAACATTTATCAAGAATTTAATCGTAATGTAAATAAGATTACATGAATGAAGACAAAGGAATTTAGTTATGCAAATTGCTAAAAGAAACGCACACGCACATATGTACATTCGTATGTAGACAGTTGCAGCCTTAATCACCGAATGCAACAAGTGTGCAACAAGCCCTTCCTTTCAGCCACTTGTAATTTAGTAATTTCCGCGCTATGCGGAAGCTCTCTGCGCTCTCTGGCACTTGTGCGCATTGTTGTTGTAGTGCAGCCAGTAAATAAAATAAATGTTGTTGCTGTTGTTGCAGCTAGAATGCAATGCGTATTTTAATGTTGCAAGTCTGAATGAAAGTCATGTGGATCGAAACGACGGGTGAAAATTATTGGCGCGCATGCGTGTTTACAAAAGAGTATGAGGTAACGTGCATTATAGATATATACATATATGCATGCATAAATATATATGTTTCTATGTACATGTAGATATTTATATGTAAACACATTTGTTTGCCGTTGCGCTTTTGTGTTGCAATTGCGCGTGAGCGTAGACTTGTCGACTGCGCATGCGTGTGTGCGTCTTCGCCAGGCGATCGTTGTAGCGAACGAGTGCATATTTGCACAAAACACGTGATTAATCATACTTATGGAGATGCGGATATGCATGGGAGGCTTAAGCGCTTCGAAACTTGCATCGACTTTAATGCGCATGCGTTTGCATCTATACACACATACACACAAGTACTCAGGTATGTTGCATGAATGCGTGCACTGCGTGTTAATTAAACAAAATAGAAGGCAGGAAAATGTGTGCTGTTCACAATTGCGGTGTTGTTAAATTAATGGTCTGTGGTGAGGAAGTGCAAACGGTTTTTCTTTTTTCCTTTATTAACAATAATTTGCTGTTTATGCAACGGAATTTTTCTTAGTTAGAAATGCGAAGAATGAGTTAAGAACTCTATTAGTACAAAAAATAAACTGTTTAACCGCCATAAAAAGTGCAAAAATAATTAACTAAGCCATTTTATGTATTGAAGAAATTTTTTTCTGAACAACAGCGTTATTTAAAAGAAGTAAATAATCGCTTTAAACAAATACCTATTTTGTTACTAGTACCGATATAAGGTAATCGTACTTAACAGTGGTTTAAATTACTCAGTACAAAAATATTTGATATATAGTAAGAGTACTCGATCGAGTGGATCTCTCTTGTGAATTTCAAAAAATCAAAATTTTTGTTGCTTATATATCGAATGTTCTCCAAAAGTTGATTTGGCAAATAACATCGGAGGTATGAGTGCATTTGTAAGAATTTTTAGTCAACTTGAACTTTTCACACCACCTTCTAGAATTTAGAGGTCCTCCTGGGATCGGATACGGCAACGATGGAATTTTTGAAAATGAATCTCCGACTCTTTAAATAGATTAAGTTATGTATATGATATTTATTTATTTATTTATTAAATAAAATGTAGGTACCAAATATCGATAAATTACAAAAATAGTCACATATAACTTACAACTGAATATCATAGGTCGTTTACAAAAGCCATTTTCAATTGACCCGGTAACCATGTAGGTACTAAATATCGATAATATACAAATACTTTGTATATCTTTACTACATTCAGTATTGAAATTAATTATCAGGAACCTCTAAAGACCAACATCAGTCTTTTTGATTACTCAACCACCATTTCGAAGTATTCGGTATCAAATGGTTGGAAGAGTATAGTTTCAAACCATATGAATTGAGCCAATTATTTTTAATTTTTTATAGAAAAAACTATTCATTCGGTTTGGAAACTTTGGCTTGGAAACTTGGTTGGGAAAAATCGACTTTTACTATATATTAAGAAAACACTGTAAAAATTTTAAAACGAAAATCGAAATATTGACAAAGTTATAGCAACTATGCGTGAGCTTCTCGTAGTATTTCGAAAGCGAAGCAGCTTATTTTTCTTAAATTGTCAGAATGAGTCGTAGATCAGAAAAAGTGTCTAATAATGGGGAATATGAAGAAATTGAAGTATCATTATACGCACCAGTGATGGACGATTGGTTTCTAGTATGATTTGTCTATAATAATAAATATAATTCTATGAAACATATTGTTACATATGTTGAAACTTTAAACGCGTTTTTCTCGGAACAACGTTCTTACGGTTGGCCCAGATGATAAAAAATTGTCTATCCAACCGATTGAGCTGAAATCTAAATATGTTATTCTATTCATCAATAGAAATCTCTGGCAGAAACTAGGATATTTTTTTAAGCTAACTTTCCATTTCTACTTTAAAAAATGTCACTTTTTACTTCAACGAAATTATTTAAACCATTTATCCAACCAGAATGACACGCTCACAGAACAATAATCTTCTTGATTTCTCTATTTCAGTTGTCCTCAAGCCTCAAGCGACCAAATCACCGTGGCCTCCTTTTTTTTGAGACGCTCACTTTAGTGCTCCGAAACAAAATAATAATAATAATAATTTTTTTGTACACACTTTATTTATAATATATAACAAAATAAAACAGATTGAAATTTATTTATTCCAAATAAATTATTTTCACAAAAGCAAAAAAAAAGTTACCAGACCTTATTAAAATATGACAAAAAATTAGCAGAAATCGTTTACAATTATAAAGTATTCAATACTCTTTCGATATGGATGGTGAGTATCATTTTATAGTTGACCTGAACTTACAATAAAGGCTAACAGTGCATGGCACCATAAATAGCAAGTCAATTGAAGTATTCAGTATCTATTAGTAAGGAATTGAGTATTGACTCGCAGTATTGCTTCAAAGTATTCATTACGCACACATTAGTACTAATATATTCTTACTTTCAATATTCACTAATCATTATAATTAAAACTATTTAGAAGTACCTAGAATAGAAGACAATAACATTAAAAGTACTCAGCATAGATTAGAAACTCGATTTTATGCACACATTCCAAGTAATCAATAATTGCACATGTATATTAGGGATATACCGATATTATCAATCGATCCTTGTTATTATAGTCAGTACTACTGACTTAAATAATTTTTAGCCATTATTTAATTTTCGAATCGAAGTATCCATTATTTCAGAAATACATATTGTAATGTGTGGATTTGTTTGATATCGTTATCGAAATCAAATAACAAGGCTACAATTTTTTTCTGGGATTGGGAGAACTTTACAAATATAAATATAAAAATTACTTATATTAGACTTTCCTGCAAATGTCAAAAATATTTTTTAATAAAACATAACCTTACAATATTACAGCAAGCGCTAAGACGAAACCTCGAACTAACAAAAAAAAAACTTATAGAACAAATAAATATGTATACCTACTATATATAATATATGGTACGTTGGTATATAATAACTTATCTAAGCACTCACGATCGCAAGGCGACTGCGACTGGCAAGCGTGAAATTGGTTTGCATTTGTTAAACAAAAAGGGTTGGAAATCAAATGAAACGAAAGCAAATAAAGTAAAAACAAAGTAAGAAAAAACACGCATTTAATTACTTCGCCCACAAATTAAAGAGCAATTCATCACTTATACAATGCTTGGCCAAATACACGCGCAAAACAACACGCACGCTGCTGCATTTGATTGAGCTGATATCCGCGAATGCGCACGCATGCGCTTTGATCGACCAAACGATCGACGCGTACAACGTGCCGACCACCTTCGGCTATAACGTGTCGACTTGGTAATTAAACATGTTCGTTGCATGTGGTAACTAATGCTACAACAACAACAATTACAAGAAAATCTAATTGCGAGGGTTTCTAATAAAGGCTGATAAACTTATAATGCAATAACAACTAAGTAAAAAATTACAACGATTCTAGTCTTACACAGTTCTTCAGGTGGCTTAGTTAAAGTTTTATTTTAATTTTATATCAGTAATTGCTGCTTAATTCATTATAATAATGCGTGTCGATACACTGTTTAATTATGTATAATTATAAATATATAGGGTGTTCTTTAAGAAACATAGGTTATCTTAGAGTGATAGTTGTCACACCAGTTGTCAAATAATCTTCAGTCACGTCAGCTTAAGGGGTATATAAATCAGAAAATTGCCATAATTTTGATTGCGAACAATATTGCAGATACTCACGCGCTTTCTTGACCGATTTATATAGAAGCTAGAAATGGAACTGATTTGACTCAGTTGGCTTACTTTTTGTGCAGGTAAACTCAGCTGATAAAGCAGCTCCCAATGAAAACTAATATGCGTGGCGCTGAGTTCAGGCCAAGATCATGTCGGAAAGTGGGACCGACACGATTTACTTCATAGGCGTCTACTTTACTTATCCATCAAAAAATGTTTAAGTCTGTTAGTTACTTGTGCAGGAAATATGGAGGAATATGGACTACTTCCATTATCGATACAGAAACAGCTTAGCGATAACTAGTCTCGGCCTCGGATACTCTATTGATTTAAAAGTTGCCCAGATTAGTGTCAGCTTCATTTTTCTTCGATAGTTTTAATGGTGTATTTCTCGAGCCTCCATCAACAGAGTTTTTGGCAGCCTTTCAGGTCTATAGTTTATTAAAAGTCCATGTTATTTAGAGGTTCAAGAATTAAAGAGAGAATTTCGAAGCTTGTAAGATTTTAGGTTGTCTAATAAATAAAACTAAACTTAGAGCTCTTGACAATATATTGACTCCCTTGAATATAGGTCCAATCTAAACTGTGCCAAGCCGATGACGGAAATAATCTTGTGAACCGAAGAATCTACGACTGAGTTCAAAAAAAAGTGTATCTACTACTTACTCTATATTCATGGTAGGGAGATGAATTCCATAATTTCTTGACAACTCACATACAAATTTACACCACGTACATGGAAAGGCAAATTGTAAAAGTTTGAAAAGACATTCCAAGGCTTTTGAGATCTCCTACCGGCCATGCCATGCCGCGCGCTCAC